TTTTTTTTTTTTAATTTTTTTTTTCCCTTTTATTAATTTTCAAGAGAGAGGAAGAGGGAAAGAGAGAAACATTGATGAGAGAACATCAACTGACCACCTCCTGCATGCCCCCCACTGGGGACTGGGCCCACAACCTGGGCATGTGCCCTGACTGGGAATTGAACTGGTGACCTCTTGGGTCAATGCTCAACCACTGAGCCACACCAGCTGGGCCTAGCATACATCTTATATGACGTATTCCACCATGGAATTACGGGACTTGGCAAAGCGATGCAAGCAGAGATTGGGGAAGTCTGTCCCAGCTTGGTTGTTATGCCTCTGGGATGATGGTGCAGACAATACTGAGCTCAGCCCCACTGAGATGGGACAACTGGCCAGTATTGCCACTGTCCCCTAGCTGTGGCAGCAGCTACAGAATGTACCCCAGATGAACCCCCAGGCTGGTAACCAGACACTGATTAACTGGTTGATGGCGGCTGCCCAAACTGTGTGGGAGAATGCTGGAGACCTCCCAGAGCACGTAAGTGGACTATTACTTAAACTTAGTGCAAGTCGTTCGGGAGATGGGTAAGCGCCAGATGATTTTCACGCAGCAGTACAGCAGCCCAGATGAAGAAATGTTACAGCCCTATGAAGGACGTGGTGTTAACAAATGGCCCTTCAGGGACTTTTGGGTCTATGGCAGCTTTATTGGCTTCTTACACAGAACACCTGGTCTGTGAAGGAACCACCGCACTGTTGCGTTGGGGGGATGTGGAAGTACGAAAACAAGGCCTGGGGACACAGGTACAGGAGCTTACGGTGGGCAAGGCTAAGCATTCTTGGGCCCCGCCAGCTGTGAGTGCTGTGGGCAAGGGGACCCAATGCGGACCCGAGAACGGGCTGGTGAAATTCAGCCGGTGTCAGCTGTGGTGTGACTTCCTAGCAGCTGGGCTGGCCAAGGAGATGATAGATGCAGCCACTAGAACTGCTGTTGGCCCTGTGTGGGAAATACACTCCCCTGCACCCTGTGGCTAAGACAATATACTCCCTGAACAACAATATACTCCCCTGCGACCTGTGGCTAAGACAGGAGAGGTGCAGTTGGCTTACTCCTGCCTGATTAGGGAGCAAGCTGAGGCAACTGGATGACCGGAGGCCATATGTAGAAGTGACTATTTACTGGTCCCCCGGAATGTTCAACGTGTTTTGGTCCTTGTGGATATGGGGGTAGACTCAACCCTGACTTATGGGCATCTGGACCGATTTCAGGGCCCTAGCAGTACGATAGAGGGGTATGGCAGAAGGTATATCCGAGTACACCGAGTCACCCTTATGCTGGGTGTCAGACGTTTGCTGCCAACCCCCTGTGAGGTGTATATTTCACCGATTGCTGAATATATACTGGGGATGGATGTTCTACAAGGTCTTGCAGTCCAAATTACACAGGGTGAATTCCGCCTACGGGTGCGTGTGGTAAAAACAGTGATTAGAGGATACCCACACCACACTCCTAGCAGCTCCTGCAAGCAACACGGGTCTATGTGAAACGGTACCATCTACCGGGAGGCCATGAAGAAATTGGGCAAACCATTCTGAAACTAGAAGAAGCAGGAGTTATTCGCCCAATGCATACCCTCTATGATTCCCCAGTGTGGCCAGTATGGAAGCCTGATGGCTCATGGAGGATGACTGTGGACTACTGGGAACTGAGCAAGGTCACTCCGCCCTTACATGTGGTGGTACCAAATATCACTGAACTAATTCCTGCTTGTCACAGGAATTGGGACAGTTTCATTATGTTTCATTATGTGGACTTGGCTGATGCCTTTTGCCCATAGACATTGACTCTGAAAGCCAGGAAGAGTTTGCCTTTACCTGGGAAGGAAGGCAATGAAGATTTCAAGTGTTACCCCAAGGCTATTTACAGAGTCCAATGCTCTGTCATGATTTGGTAGCCCAGGATTTAGCATCCTGGAACAAACCTCCAAATGTACACTTGTTCCATTTTATTGATGATACAATGTTGACCTCTGATTCTCTTACAGAGCTACAAGCTGGAGCACGCAGCCTTCGGGAAGCCCTGGCAGCTGGGGGTGGGCAGGCAACGAGGACAAAGTCCAAGAGAAGATGAAGGTTTTGCCTGAGGCAATTATAGATAAGATATAGGCCTATTCCCAACCAGAAACAGTGAAACAGTTGCAGACATACTTGGGACTGCTAGGGTAATGGTGAACTTTTATACCCCATTTAACCATGCTGATGAAACCTCTCTACCGCATGGTCCGCAAGGGGGAGGCCTGGGACTGGTCTCCTGAAGTGGAGCAAGTGTTTCTGGCCACGAAACGGGCAGTGGCCCAGGCACAGACTCTGTGAGTCGTGGATCAGGCTTTGTCATTCCTTCTGACGTAAAGGTGGACAATTCAGGGTTTGGCTGGGGGTCTCTGACAAAAACAAGGAGCTCGGAAGAGTCCCACTAGTTTTGGTCCCAATTGTGGAAGGGAGCTAAAAGTCGTTAGTCCCTCATTGAGAAGCAGTTGGTGGCCCTGTTAGCCAGTGAAAGTATCACTGGTCCTTGTCCTGTCACAGTGCAAACCACTTACCTGATAGAGGGGTGTTTATGGTCTTGGGCTACTCGACCATGCACAGGGGTGGCCAAACTCCCACTTTGACAAAGGGGAGCTTACTTGGAACAGAGGGCTTGGTTCTCTACCAGCCCCTTGACACACGAGCTGCACTCCTTGCTGGGACCTAAACAGTTTAGGGCAAAATGGGAGGGGCCCTCTGCCTAAGTGGAGGAAAGCCCCAGCCCGTTTGAGGAGGGAAAGCCTTGCCTTCTGGCAGATCTCGGTGTACTGATGGTTCTTGCCAAGGCCAAGTACTGACATGAGCGGCAGTGGCCCTGCAACCAGCTATGGATACCTTTTGGTACAATACAGGAGTCCGATGTTCGAGCCAGTGGGCCAAACTGAGAGCTATGTGGATGGAATTAATGAGAGTCTAGCCGAATGTATGTGTGTACCGATAGTGTACAGAGGCCTCACTTTATGTCTGCCTTACTGGGCAGCCCAAAAATGGCTTAGAGGTCATCAACCCCTCTGGGGGAAGAAAGATATGTAGCAGGACCTGTGGGAAAGGGACCTGAAAGAAGGAGTGGTGATTTACCATGTCTCAGGGCATAAGCCCTTGCAGGCCTCACTGGAGGTCTCTTGGTTATGTGTTGCACCCTGTACTGCTGTTGTGGGCTCTCTGCACAGGAAATGCTTTATGGGTCAAGTCCCAGCACCCCAGCCTCTAGGGGGTGGAGTTTTGGGTCTGGGAATGTGGTCTGTTGTTGATAGCGGTAGTGGTTCAGGACATGACCCGGAACTGGCCGGGCAGGCACAGACCATGTTTTCTTACATAAGCATGACACAGCAAAAGCGTAGGACGCATGTGCCATGCACCCACCTGAGCAGAGTATCCTGCCACAGGAGTCTATAAAAGCTGTTAGATGTATTGAATAAAGCTGCTGCCATTTGTTGATCCCTCCTGATGTTGGCTCCGTGTGCTTTCTTTACCTTGGGTATTTCACCGATGTAACCCCCCTGGCAACCCCCGGCCTCTGACAAGGTCTAACACTAAATTTTTGATGGATGAATGAATGTAACTGCATAGAATGTATGACGCCTACATATACTATCACACTTTCTATAATTCACAGCAAATTATTTAATCAACATTCAACAGCTTTTTTTATTTTTAATTCTTCACCTGAGGATACTTTTCTACTTACCAGTTAGAGTGGGAGGGAGGGAGAAGGAGAGGGAGAGGCAGAAACATCCATGTGAGCCACATCAACTGGTTGCCTTCTGTATGACCGGACCAGGGCTGGGGACAAACTGCTGCAAACGAGGTACGAGGTACGTGCCCTTGACTGGAATCGAACGGAGACTCATTGGTCCATGGGCCCACGCTCTAACCGCTGAGCCAAACCGGCCAGGGCCATTCAACAACTTTTTAAAAGTCGTCATCATGATCCTAGCAAGAAAACCATCATCTAGGTGGTATTTTAACGAGTCTTTATGAACTCCTAGTCACTTTCCTCACCACATACTTAAAAATGCTTTGACTTCAAATACAGATTATGTCACTTGATGTAATCTTAATTTAGTGAAGGAAACAAAAAGTCATGGCTGCTTTTATTTTAGGTGTAAATGACCTTGGGGTGGGGAAAGAGAAAAAGAACTGCCCCCCACATTACAAGTGTTCAGGCTCCGTACGTTAATTTTATCCTCTCTCATACACGGAACTTACATGTTGTATATTTTGCTAAGTGTCCTGCGTAGAGACCCCAGATCCTGAATTTGGCAGGAGTTGCATCTCTGGAAAATATCTCTGAAGGGCGTGGGTGTCCCGCTTCTCCCAGGGATCAGGGCGGGGCACTAACTGGTCCAGTCATGACGGGACTCAGCATCCTCCAGACGTGAGGCAGCTCCTTCCCAGAAACGGCGGGTCAGACGGGGTCTGACTAAACCTTAGGCCGCAAGCCCGCAGGGTGCGGCAGACCCAGGGGCCTGGAGGGTGTGGGAGGGGAGCAAGCCGCCGGCCAGGTCTGACCCGCAGACTCTAGCGGGCCAAAGACAAGGCCAGCCCTCCAGGCTGCTGGGGAGACCGGAAGGGGGGCCGGGACCTTCCGGTCCCCTCGGGCCGCAGCCGGACCAGTACCCTCGCAGCCCCTGAACATGGCTGACCTGGCACGCTTAGGGCAGCACCTCCGCGCGGACAGTGAGCCAGGACCGGGACACAAGGGGGGAAGCAGAGCCCAAGTGTAATTCTAGCACCTCTGACCGCCCCAGCCAAAGCGGTGCACGGAGCCCCGCCCAGCGCAGCTCGCGCAGGGGCGGGGCCGCTGATCTGGCCAGAGCAGATTCGCCCAAGCTCGACCAGGGGCGTGGCCTGCCCCTCCCCGTCATGACTAGCCCCGCCCCCGCCTCTCAGCTCCTGGACCCTGCAGGAAATCGGGGCGGGCCTGGCCCAGTGTGGCGGGAGGAGGAGGAGCAGGGTTGCGGGGAGAGGAGACTCCAGGAGGGCCTGGCAACGGGGGAATGAAGCCTCCGCCTTCTGGGGCAGAAGCCTTTAAATACGGGCCCGGGCCTGGGACTCTGGGTGCAGTGAGAGGAGGTCTGGCGGAGCGGTGGCTGTGCGGCCCAGAGGGAGGAGCTGTCCGAGCCGTGGGGATAGTAGCGGAAGCCGCGCTCTGTGCTTGGAAGCGGGTAAGTGCCCTTCCCCGGATGGCCCGCCGCCCCGTCGGGATGCTCCGTGGTCCCCTCGGCGTGGAGGGAGCGGAGCCGGGGTGTGCACGCTGCTCCAGGTCGCTCCCTGCTCTCGGTCCCGGGCTTTCCGGCTTCCGACTCTCGTCTCCTCTTTTAGGCTCTGGGCGGGAATCGCCTTTTGGATCTGCTGCCCTGGGGATGGTGTAGCTTGGGCTTTTTATTCCAGACTCGCGAGTCTTCCAGCTGCATCTCTTTCTGCTTTTTCTCACTTTCTGACTTGAAATAAATGAGATTTCCCCTGCCCTCAGAAAACCGAACGTCCGCCGAAGGAAGCGGTCCCCTGGTTAGGGACCCCATTTTGGACTGAGTCACAGTCTTTTGTTTGTGTTAAGTCTGCTCTCCTGGGGGCTGCTGCTTTCCTCACTTCACTGGCCACGCTTCGTAACAAACTAGCAAGAAAATGAAGGCGGAAAGCCCTTTTGAGGGCGAAATCCTAAGACATTCAATCGTGACATCTGTATGGGCTGTCCTGGAATGCATTGCTGCATCTCCACCATATATAATTGCTTTATTTCATGTCTGGGAAAGCCTTTTTTGGGTGCTTTAAGAGATTATGTTTGTGTGAGACCTTGATAAATTATATCTTCCTCTTATATAGGAAAAGAATTGAGTAGGATTGAGAATTCTGGAATATAGAAAAGAGGGATTCACTGATAGTGAGCATTTTACAAATACACAGAGGGGTGGCTGTCCATTGACTGCCCTAGAAGACACAGTCTTTGAATTTCTTCAAATCCCCTAGGAAATAGAGAACAGTAGTCTGGTCTGTTTCTTGAGGGGGTGGGGGGTGTTTCTGGAAATGAAAGAGCTTACTGTCTGTCTGCTCTGAGATGTACTTGTTAGTACCCAACATCTACTTCAAGGTAAATCGTAGACAAACCCTGATTGAAAGGATCACATTTCTTCTTCCATTTTTATACTTTCTCTAACATAAAATCTATAACTAAGAAGCATATTCTGCCCTGGCCAGTTTGGCCCAGCGGTTAGAGTGTCGGCCTGCGGTCCGGAGAGACCCGGGTTCAGTTCCCGCTAAGGGCATGTACCTCGTTGCTGTTTGTTCCCAGCTCTGGTTGGGTCGTATGGGTGGCAACCACTCCATGTGTCCCATTCACGTCGATGTTTCTCTCTCTCTCTCTCTCCCTCCCACTCTATCTGAACAAAGTATCAAAAAATGCAAAAAATGTCCTAGGGTGAGGACTTAAAAAAAAGAAGCATATTCCATCCAACCTTTTGCTATTTCTACAGCTTTATATCTTTATATGATACCCTTTAGATATACTGTTAACACTCTCTCAATGATTATTTTTCCTGGGTTAGGCATCTTTTTTTTTCTTCCTCACCCGAGGATATTTTTCTACTTATTATCAGATAGAGTGAGAGGGAGGGAGAGAGAGAGAGACAGAGAGAAACGTGGATGTGATAGAGCCACATCTACCGGTTGCCTCCCGTACAACCTGACCAGCGCCAGGGATGAAGCGCAACTGAGGTCCTACCCATGACCAGAACCGAACCCTCGGCTCATTGGTCCTTGGGCTGATGCTCTAACCGCTGAGCCAAACTGGGCAGGGCAGTTTAGGCATCTTTTAATATTTAATTTTGCAAATGACTAAGATTATTTGTGAGGTTGATATATCCAGCTATAGCTAATCCATTGCTTTAGTTACCGAGTAATTACACAACGTATACTGAAGAGGGGTGGGGGTGTACCAGGAACCAGCCTGGAGAGCAGAGTCCCTGTGTTCGAGTGGTGGGAATGAAGACAATGACATGGATATGGGATCAGGAGGACTGTCCTCAGCAGGATCAGCCTTGATATGCTTTATTACATACCTTTTATACCTTACAGAAGTTGTTCTCAACCTGTGGGTCGCGACCCCTTTGGGGGTCGAAGGACCCTTTCACAGGGGTCGCCTAAGACCATCAGAAAACACGTATTTCTGATGGTCTTAGGAACCGAGACACCGCTCTGTCTCCAGGCGGGTTTAGCCCACATACCACATGAGGAACTGTATTAAAGGGTCGCGCATTAGGAAGGTGGAGAACCACTGTCTTACAGTGAAAGTTTAGTGATATAAGAAAATAGGATCTGCCCTGGCTGATTTGGCTCAGCGGTTAGAGCATCAGCCTGCAGTCCAGAGAGACCTGGGTTTGGTTCCTGCTAAGGGCATGTACCTCGGTTGCAGTTTTTCCCCAGCCCTGGTTGGGTCCTGCAGGTGGCAACCACTCCATGTGTCCCTTTCACGTGATATTTCTCTCTCTCTCTCTCTCTCCCCCCTCCCACTCTATCTGAACAAAAAATGGAAAAATGTCCTCGGGTGAGGATTATATAAAAAAAAAAAAAGAAAGAAAATAGGATCTTCTTGATATAATGCCCCGGGCTACACAATGCTGTATAGAATTCCTTTGCCTTGAGATAACAGGAACACCCAGTCTGTTATTTCAGGTATTTCAAGGTATATTGGGTCACACTGAGCCCCGAGCTGCACAAACACAATGCAAGCCTAATTCCTTGAGATTGTTGGGGAGGTTGAATCTCTGACACAAGACCTCTAGGCTCCATGGACTCTGTCAGACATATAGCCGGCTCCCAACAGGGGTGAAGGGATTAGATTTGGTTTAAATTGTAGTAGGACCTTTCCTATTTGCTAGCCACATATTCTAGGTGAAAATATTGATTTCAGTTTATAAAACTTTAAATGAAGAGTAGTTTGGAGTGACCTGGTTTGTTGTGACTCCCAAAATACAGATGTAAAAAACTCATTTCGAACTGACTTATAAAGCAAACATTCCCATTTCCCTGACAGCACAGTAGAAAGGGTCAGAAGGTACATAAAAGTAGAAATAGAAAATGGAATCAGAAGACATCTGTGTCAGGGAAAGTATATCACTAACACCGTGTCAAGGTCCATATTAAAGCTTACTGAAAATTTTACTGAAACTTCCAAGTGATTTTTTTGGGGGGATTTGCACAGATTATACATCTAACTTCTTCTGTAATTTCCCCATTGTCACCTACAAGCCATACTTCTTATGAAATAGCATTGCAGGGATCCCAGAAACTTATGTAGTTCTATAATACAGGTCCACCTGCTATCATTAGTTTACCCCAGCTGTTGTATGTAAGGCAAGCTGGATACAACCTGGCAAGCAAGGTGGATAAGAAGTAACTGGGAAGACATGCCAAAGTTCTACCTATAGAAAAAAGGATGATGGGATTGTGGGCATTCTGCAAAAATACTGTCATCAGCCATCTGAACTAAAGATATTCAAATAATTGTCTTCATTTTAACAAGATAAGCTATAATGGAGAGTTACTCATTCAATTAATATATATTGAGAGCCTACTGTTCTGGGTGTTGAGGTGAACAAGCAGCAGATAACTGCTCTTTTTCAGTACGGATCATCTCCATGTGGCTGGGAGCACTCGGGTATGGGTTAATCTGCCCTTGAGCTCTGTAAATTCTACGCTGCATTTTGGGAATTTTGTTCACCTGGGTGTGCTCAATAACCAGAGGATCTACATCTAAACCCTCAAGTTCTGCATTACTCTGCATTTTTAAGCATGTGCAGCAAAATTCAGCTCTTTTTGGGCCACCACCCTGTCTTTGCAGCCCCACTGTTTGGCCTGGGTATACCTACCAACTGCACCATTGTGATGATGGAATGGCACACATTGCTTCTGTAAAGTGACATCCTCCAGGGACTTGGTGGCTCTTTGATATGTACCCTTGATGGCCTGGGCAGTTTAACAAGTGTTCTTAAAGTGAACATGAAGATTTGAACCTCTTGATTTGCATAATTTTGTGGGTTTTTCTGGATCAAGTGAATAGTGACCCATTTTCAGAGGTCACCTCAGGCTGCTTTTGGGAAGAGCTCAATCCATGTTTATTATAATTTTAGCAGAACCTGTTTTGCTTGAGATTGAGGGCATAGGCTTCACTTTTAACCTCTTGGCTATGGGATTAAGTAGTAACCTAAAAAAATCCTCTGGTTCAAAAATACTTTGAGGTGACACTTTTTATTTTATTTTTTGAATTTATTTATTTATTTTTGTTACAGATGTTTCTTCTTTTTCCCCCAGACAAGCTCTTCCCTATCCACCCCCCTCCCGCCCCAAGCATTGTTGTCTATGTCCATTGGTTACTCATACGTGCATATAAGTTCTTTGGTTTATTTCATCCCCCCTTCCCCCTCCAGGTTTTTAAGTGTGAACCATACTCTTTGTATGTCTCTAGGTGTATTTTGTTCATTATATTCCGCAAATAAGTGAGATCATGTGGTATTTGTCTTTCTCTGACTGGCTTATTTCGCTTGCATTATACTCTCCAGGTCCCTCCATGTCCTCTCAAAGGACAAGATATCCTTCTTTCTTACAGCTGCATAATGTTACATTGTGTACATGTACCACAGCTTTTTTATCCACTCATGAGATGACACTTTTTAGGTATTCTAGATGTATTGGTCTTACTTAGAGAGAAAGGTCGACTAGCTGTCCAGTAAAGGTGTGGCAGTGTAGTAGTTCTTCAGGTTCATTACAGTTCAGGACTTAATCTTCAGCCTTGCGCCTAGAAGGTAGTCCTCCCCTTCCCCAAACCAGAGTTAATGAGGCTTTAGATGTTAACTTATGATGATTAAGCTCATAAGGGACTGATGAATACTAGAATGGAGCTTTGCTATTACAGTGGAGAAATTTTATTCTAGTGCCTGGAATACTTGTATCTCAAATCCAGGCCATCACTTTCTAGTATTATGGTCCTAGAAATCTGAATTCATAAGGCAGAGTGGAATCAGAAAAATAATCTTTGGGGAATATGCCATCCAAGCATTGGGAAAGCCCTTACTTGCCCTATCTCTCTGAAATCAGAATACTTCTGACCTCCAGATTCTGTGTCACTCTTTTCTAGACAGTGCTGAAATCAACACTGTCATTCTTGTTCTTAAATCCCTCTTTCCAGGACGATCATTCTCTTTGCTACCGCTTCCCTTTTTATCCCAGGGGAATGATTAGATTTTTTAGTTACACAAATGCCATTGATTTTTAGATTACTTTCAGTTATGTTACCTTAAGTTATTAAATTAAAGTCTCATGGAGTGTTATGGTCATGCTTTCCTGAAAGGGGCACTCAAGACCCACTTTCAATTCATTTCCACTCTAAGAAACAATTATTGCTGCTCACTACTTCTTAATACCCACTTTTCTTGTCCAAGTAGGAAGATTTCACTTCTTTGGACTAATTTCATATATGTCCTTATTTATTCTCTTCTCATCTGGAATACCCTCCCCCACTTATCTATACTTTCTATATCCTATCATTCTTTAGGCCAAGTTTAGATTCCACATTTGTCTTGACGTAGATGCCAAGTTATTTTGATTTTTCTTCCCCTCTAGATTTTAACATTCGTTTTGTCATTTAATTGATTATACCACCTTGTATAATTTAACCATTTTACCTGGGTGCAACTAACTCCTTTTCATCTTTTTTTTTCTTCTTTTTAATATATATATTTTTAATCCTCACCCGAGGATATGTTTTTATTTATCTTCAGATAGAATAGTGGGGAGAGAGAGAGAAACATTGATGTGTGAGGGACACATCAACTGATTGCCTGACCAAGGCTGGGGATGAACTGCAACTGAGGTACACGCCCTTGGCCGGAATCGAACCTGCGACTCATTGGTCCACAGGCCAACACTCTACCGCTGAGCCAAACTGGCCAGGGCCTAAATGTGTTTTATTGATTTTTTTTAGAGAGAGAGAAAGGGAGAGAGAGATAGAAACATGATATCAGAAGAAACATCAGTCGGCTACCTCCTGCATACCCCTCACTGGGGATCGAGCCCACAACCTGGGCATGTGCCCTGACCGGGAATTGAATCGGGACCTCTTAGTCCAAGGGATGACGCTCAATCCACTGAGCCACATCGGCTAGGCTTCTTTTCATCTTTTAAGTCAGCTTTAAAGTCACTTTCTTAGCCAGTCCTCCTTTGTTTTTTATTTTTCTGTTAGTCCTCGATTTTTAGATAGAGTAGAAGGGGGAGGGAGGGAGAGAGAGAGAGAGAGAGAAACATACATGAATGTGAGAGAGACGCATCTACTGGTTGCCTCCTGCATGACCCCTACCAGAGTCAAGGATTGAACCTGCAACTTGCTCTTAATCAGGAATTGAACCTGAGACTTTGTCCAAGGGCTATTGCTTTAACCGCTGAGCCAAACTGGTTAGGGCAGACAGTCCTTCTTTACCCTATCTAATGTAGTCCTTTCTCCACAGATAGCCTTTCCCTCCCTCCTCTCTCCCTCTCTCCTACATGATTATTTCTTTTATATGGAATGTATCACAACTGCCATTATTTTGTGTGCTCTCCTACTAGAATATGGCCATATGAAGGTATTTGCCTTGTTCACTGTTGTGTATCCACAATACATAGAACAGTGTCGGCTGTTACAAAGTAGGGTGTTTAATTAAGTCTATTGAATTCTGGACTATATAACTAATCTTACTATCTTCTGTGTTAGTTTAAACCTGTCTCAAGGCTGACCTTTGTATACCAGCATTTATTTAAGCAAGGATTACATTGGTATTTCACCCTTGAACTTTCCCCTCAGCAATCAAAGTTGTCCTAAGTAAGGTTTAAATAAGGTTTTATTTTGCTTCTTGACTTTCTAAATATTGGGTCATATAATCATTGTGTCTCTTCTCCAGTAATATCAGTTATTGTAATGTTTTCCTTATGTTTCATACTAGTACAGCTGAGAACAGGTTTGGTCATCCAATTGTAATGTTATTTTTTATGACTATTTTCATAATTCTTAATGAGTGTGAATGTGGGAAATATTTACAGATATACCACCTTGACATTTTTTATAAAGTATGAATGTGCATTGTGATTTTAAATTTTCTGTTTTCAATAGTAAAATAGTCTTACTGTTTCCCTTCTAGTACAATCATGTTTGAAATTAAGAAGATCTGTTGCATTGGTGCGGGCTATGTTGGAGGACCCACGTGTAGTGTCATAGCTCAGATGTGCCCTGAAATCAGGGTAACGGTTGTTGATGTCAATGAATCAAGAATCAATGCATGGAACTCTCCTACACTTCCTATTTACGAGGTAAACCGTATTAAATAATTTTTTGTTCTAATGTTGTTTTCTTACATTTTTTTGTGAAATAATTTACTATTGATGTAAAAATCTATGATTGCAAACTGATGAGAAATTAAATGAAAAAATTTAGATACACAGTGTTGTGGACATTATAATTACAATTATGCCAAGCATGATCAGGGAAAATGACTGGAAAGAAGTACATTAGAATATTAATAATGGTTGTATTAGTGCAATGAGATTATGGGTAATTTTTTCTCTTTTCTACTTTTTAATCTTGTCATTTAGTATGGTTACCATATTATAATAGTAAAATTAACAAGTCATACTCTTTAAAAATAAAAATTATGGATGTTTAAAATATTAATTTATATAAGTCTGTTATATTTATTGTATTGTATTTACATTAGGTAAACTTTGGATGGATAAATGGTGCTTTTCATATTTAGTGTTTAGTATCACAAATTTGTTTAATTAGAATTTCAAAATTTCTGTGAATTTAGAGAATTTATAGTTAAGAAAATATGCTTTTAACCATTTTATTAAGCTGTCTGAGTCCTATTTTTTATTTCACCATAAAATTAGTTCATGATATTTTGCTTTTGAAGCATTTGAAAATTTGATGGTAGCATTTTCTATTCAATATTAATACTGTTTATATATATATATTTTTTTTTTTTCAGAAAAGGTTTGATATTTACAAGATTGTTATTAACCATAGCCTTTAGGTTTGTTAGGCCTTTGGAAGGGGAAACCTCAACCAAGTTCTATCTGTAAGATAAATCTCCCTGCTATTTATGGGCATATGAAACAGAAATCCTTTTTTTTTTATCCTCACCCGAGGACATTTTTCCATTTTTTGTTCAGATAGAGCAGGAGGAAGAGAGAGAGAGAAACATTGACGTGAAAGGAACACATCGAGTGGTTGCTACCCGCATATCCCAACCAGGGCCGGGGACAAACTGCAACCAAGATACATGCCCTTAGCGAGAACCTAATCCGGGTCTCTCTGGACTGCAGGCCGATGCTCTAACCACTGAGCCAAACCGGCCAGGGCAAAGTTGACAAATTTTTCTTTTTTGGTATGTGCCCCTAGCAGGAACCAAACCCAGAACTATCTGATCCTCAGGCCAATGCTTCAACTGCTGAGCCAAACTGACCAGGGCAAGAAATCCATTTTTAAAAGCACCCATAGACTAGTAGCAATTTATATCTGAATCAGACCTGAGATTTAAAAAAAATACCCACTGTGTACATAGCTTCTGTCTGTGCTTTATCCTTTCTTCTACCAAATGACCTGCCCATAATACTTTTTTTTTGCATTTATCTTCAGATAGAGCAGGAGGGAGAGAGGGGGGAAGAGAGAGAGAGAAGCATCGATGTGAGAGAGACACATTGAGTGGTTGCCACCCACACAAATCCCAACCAGGGTGAGGACAAACTGCAACTGAGGTACATGCCCTTTAGCAGGAACCAAACCCAGGACTCTCTGGTCCTTTGGTTGACGCTCTAACCGCTGGGCCAAACCAGCCAGGGCATCCATAGTAGTTCTTTTTTTTTTTTTTAATCCTCAACCAAGGACATTTTTCCATGTTTTGTTCAGATAGAGTGGGAGGGAGAGAGAGGAAGAGAGAGAGAGAGAAACATCGATGTGAAGGGACACATCGAGTGGCTGCCACCCACACCACCAACCAGGGCCGGGGACAAACTGCAACCGAGGTACGTGCCCTTAGCGGGAACCGAACCCGGGTCTTTCTGTACCGCAGGCCGACGCTCCAACCGCTGAGCCAAACCGGCCAGGGCCATAGTAGTTCTTTAACTAACTCAGTATTATAGAATTTCTTTCCCTGTTGTAAGTATAACATCACTACTATACTTGGTTTGGGAAAATTAAAAAAATATATATATATTTTGGAATGATAACTTGATAGAGTTTTATAATTCTGATATCCATAAAAGGGCTACAAGTTGTCTGAAACCCTGTAAACCATATTTGTTTCCAATCATTCTGTAACTAATTCTATCAGCAATGTACTCTGGTCTTCAAAAACAAAGGGCACTCATCAGAGTGGCTAAAATTATTACTACTGACAATACCAAGTGTTGACAAGGATCTAGAGAAATTGAAATCTTATACACTGCTGCTCAGAATGTAAATTGGTACATCTGCTTTGCAATACTGTTTGGCAGTGTGTACTAAAGCTGAAAGTATGAATAGTTTATGACCCAGCAATTCCAGTGCTAAGTGTGTATCTAACAGAAATGCATATATAGGCGCACCAAAGACAGATATTAACAGTCCTATTAGTAATAGCCCCAAATAGAAAATAACCTAAATGTTCATCATCAATAGGATAGATACATAAATTATAGTTTAAAGCCTATAATAAAATACTACACTGCATTGAAAATGAATGAAACTACTCCTGCATTTAAGAATTTGGTTTAATTCTCACAAAAGTAATGTGTTGTCAGACACAAAATAATTCATACTGTATAATTCTATTTGTATAATTTTAAAAAATCGACATACTAATCTAATTCAGCATGATGATAATTTGAGGTAGTGACTAGGAGAGGGCACATTGCAGGCTCTGATTCTTCTAACTCTTGATGTAGATAGTGGTTACACAAGTGGATTCACTTGTGAACATTGAACTATACATTTCTCTATACTAATGTATATGCACTTTTCTCTATTTATGTTTTATTTCAATTAAAAATTTACTTTAAAGAAAAGGTATCCTGAACTAGAAAAAAATATATAAATTTTTTGTAATATATTGGAATTAGAAATTTTTCTTGGAGAAAAAAAATTAGTTGCCCAGGCATGTTCCCTGGCCAAGTTCTTATTCAGTCAGATTATTATTTTTGGTATTACTATTTCCATTATTTGAAATTTGAAATTCTTCTTCCTAAGACTTTAGTGCTTTAAATTAAAAGTAGTGTTTTGTAGTGGATCCAGGATGGTGGGGGAATAGATGGAAACTACATGCACTTCCTCCCAGGTCCAGACCAGAATTACAACTAAATTATAGAGCAATCAACCTGAAGAACCAATTGAAGACTAGCTGATCATAGTCTTATAACCAATGATTTATAGAAGAAGCCACGTGGAGCCCTGGCCGGTTTGGCTCAGCGGTTGGAGCGTCGGCCTGCGGTACAGAGAGACCCGAGTTTGGTTCCCACTAAGGGCACGTACCTCGGTTGCAGTTTGTCCCGGCCCTGGTTGGTCGTGCGGGTGGCAGCCACTCGATGTGTCCCTTCGCATCGATGTTTCTCTCTCTCTCTCTTCCTCTCTCTCCCTCCCGCTCTATCTGAACAAAAAATGGAAAAATGTCCTCGGGTGAGAAGAAGCCCCATGGAGACTGATAGGAAGGGCAAATATGCGAAAAAGGCTAGCTCCTCACCTATGTGTGGTGGTTGAGAATCTGGAGGAATATCTCACCTGCAAAGGTCCCCCCCAGAGGTCTCAACCCCACTTTTAGCTCTCCAGCCCAGAGCACCAGAGCCAGGCAGAAGACCCCATGTATAACATCTAGCTGTGAAAATCAATGGGAATTCCATCAGCTAGAGACAAATGGGAGTCTGCTAGAAACCTAGGTGCTATCTTAAAAGGTCAGCACACAAAATTTCATTTGCATCCACTTATCCTGGGCTCTGGTGGAGGGCAGGCGGCTCAGAATAGACTGGAGTCATATAGGGAGAGACTGGATTGTGTAGGTTCAGGGAGAGGGCTGAAGGGATAGCCGCCATGGTCCCTGGGCTGAGTCTCTCTTCCAAACCACCCACAGATGCCATCTTTCCTGGGTTGAGCACTCCCCTCCATACAACATCAGCTTGGGGAAATGCATTAGCCCCACCTTCCAGACTCCCTGTGGCCGAGCCCTGTTGAGCTCAGGCTCTGTAGAAGAGTCGCCGGCTGTGGCCAGACAGGGCCCACAGTGCAGGCTTTCTTGGGAGGCTCTCAAGGAAGTCAGGGTGGATTGGGTTGTGGCAGAGACTGAGTTGTGTGACTCTAGGAAAAGGGCCATTCTTCCCCTCATACACCCGACTGGCACCACCATTCCTGTGTAGAGCCCTCCCTCTATATAGCCAAATCTTGGTCTGTTTTAGCCTAATGAGCTCTGCCTGCCTCACCTTGATGACTTCCTGAGATCCTGCCCCAGCACAAAGGCCCACAGACCCCTGGTGGGTGGGGGCTGCCTTTGGTGTACACAGAGACTTTTGCTGAGTGGTCTCAGACTCATCATGGCACAAAATTTGAATCTGTATCAACCTGGTCAACACCACTCGTCCCTGCCTGGTGACTCACTACATCATGCAACCTATGTATCACCAGAGGCTGTTTCAGTGACTGATCTTAACAGGTAGCCAGCAGGCAGAGGTGGATCTTGGAGTGTCTTGGGCCTTTTGTTGTCTTGCCCCTGTGCTTAGTGCTGATGGCAGCCAGCCTTGGTGTGCAGCTTGGCCCCTCCCATGTACACTGAGGCCCAGCAGAGGCAGTTTGGATTGCCTTGTAGCTCCAAACAAGTAGCCCAGGGCCAGTTCCAGGGAGTGTCTGACATTGACCTGTACCAGAGTCCCTCCAGGAGGCTCCAGAACCAACACACCAGGTAGCAGGCCACATCAGAGCATGACCCAATTAGCTCCACAAATGGTACATCCAAAGGGAGATCTCAGCAGGCTTCAGACCCTATTTGAGCAAATTCTCCTTGGTGGGGTCAGCCCCTGCATAGCTCATACCCTGTGGTCAGGTCAGTCCTCATGGTCAGCCAGCCTGAGGATCAGCCCCACCCACAGATGGCCAAGAGCAGTCAAGACTCATCTATAACAGGAGGACTCACATAAACCACACAAGGGACATTTTTGGAGCACTTAACTCAGGTGATCAGGGAAACTGCAGCACTGAGCCCATAGGGCATCTACATAAGGTCACCATACCAAGACAGAAACATAGCAAATCTACTTAATACACAGAAACAAATATAGAGAGGCAGCCAAAA